CTTAAAGGGGAAACTTGGGGCTGAGCAAACTGGACCCCTTCCGTCAGGAAAAGAGAAGGAAGCAGGACAGGAGGCACCCAGGCAGCTGATTTGTGAGGGAATGATGCTCTTGTTATTATTGAGGTTAATAATGGTAACCTCTAGTATGGCTGGGTCAGCCTGGAGAGATGATTTCTAAGCAATCCTTTCTCACAGAGGCTTCTCTCGAGAAGTCAAGGGTTCCCCAACTTGGTGACGATGGGGAGAATAAAATAAAGACCTTCCTCTCTCCCCCTTTCCTCTCCCACTCCTTGAGGATTCCAGCAAAAAGGGAACCTTATAAAATCTCCACGCCTCCCATCATTGTCCTCTGCTCTCGTCAGTTCACTAAAACGCACTATCTTTGGGTGCTGGGCTTTGTGGGGTGTCTTTTTTACGAATCCGCAGACAGTCACTAGACCAAGTCCCCATGAATTCCGTCTCTGACCCTGGAGGAGACCCCGGGGTTCCCTTGCTTGCTCCATGGAGTTCTCTGTCTATCCTTAAACTTTGCAGTTTCCGCCTTCTTTGGTCCTGGACGCCTGACCCCATGGGGTCTCTGGCAGCTCAGAGGGCACAAACAGATGAGGGCAGATGCCCTCATCCACCCCCGTAAGGGATCGAAGCTTCCTAGCACCACCTTCATTCTGAGAGTACCAGGCCGGGGAGCCTTCCCTAAAAAACCCTAACGCCAGCTTCACCCCTGAATCTTTCAAAAATGCATTTAAACTCCTTTAAAAATAAAAGTCCTTCCCCCACTAAACAGGAAAGCTCGGGTCACAAATCCCCAGGCGCGCAAGTTTCCTGCGCCCTTCGTCAGAATTTGGACAACAACAATATTCATAATAATAAGAATTAAAGCTTATATCTAGGGGAAAAGGGATATCCCAGGCCAAGTTTTTAAAGGGGTTATAATCCAGCAGCCTTGGCCAGGAGTGGGGGTCAGTGAGGCCAGGATGAGCAAAGAAGGGGGTGGGGAACCCAGCCTCTCCTAACTAACAATTTCTCCAGCATAAAAATGAAACATCAAATTCGTTAGCCCAGGGCCTTCATTTTTCCCCTTCCACATTATAACTAGTTATTGAACTCACTGGAAGATCTAAAGGCCATTTGCGAAGAGACAAATTTCAATGGAGTTTCCCCATCAATAACCCCATGGCAGTGACCTATTGGAACAAGTCAAACACCCGAGGTGAAATGCAGGTCACTCTGTCTAACCAATATTAAAATGCGGCCACTTTTTAAAAAGCCACTTTAAACGAGATTTGAGGAAAATTGAATTCCAAGGAAGGCAAGGCAAGGAGGAGGAAATCCATGAGAGGACCTTGCCTATGGTCTAGGAGCAAACAAGGGAAATTTATCTTTAATATTTTAAAGGGGGGCAAATTAACATTCCATGATTGCTTTTTCCCCCTCCAAGACTATAAGCGATTCTAGGAGAGAGAGAGAGAAAAAAAAAAAAGGTTGAGTATTTTCTGGTGACACGTCCAGGTTATTAAAATCATTTTAGACCAATTCATTACTTTTACTGACAAGAGATTTAAGAAAAAATCAATTAAGCATTTGCATATTCTTTTGCATACATTAGCCCTGCCTGCTGGCATTAGAAAGGAACAAAACACACATATGTACATACATACATACACAGGGGTAAATGGGATGAGAGTCTTGCTTTAGTTTGGGGTTTTGAGGTTGTTTGGAGAAAAAAATAAAAATAAAATGAATGATCTGATTGCATACTATCTAAAAGTCAATTTATTTCAGGAAGAAGAAAAAGATAGGTTGCTGTTTTCAATCTCTAAAATAACAACAACAACAAAAAAAAAAAAACCCCACATACATACACTAAAAGCAAAACCCTGCACTTCTGTGAAAGGAATGACTCTCATTTTCCTTCTCTTTGCTTTCCAAATCCTACATGGTCCTCACATTTATTCTTCTCCCTAGGAAAATTCAGGGAGTCTGAGAGGCGGATTTTAATGCAGCACAGAATCTGTGGAGCTGCTGAGGTCTCTCAGCCGGCAGCGCGTTACTGGGGAGGGGAGGAATATGGGTTATCCAACGGTCAGTATGGTAATCCGGGCACAATAAGGCCTCGCACACAATGGACACATATTTTTCTTCAGCGGTGTCAGAAGGGAAGCGCTTTGTACTGAAACATGTTTCCAAAAGAGAAACCAGATCGAGATTTAGAAAGGATATGGGGTAGGAGGGTATTCGGAGAGTGTTTAAAAGCTGGCAAAAGGTAGTCAGAAAAAAAAATAAAAAATAAAATTGGGTCAGAGAGAGGTGGAGGGCAGAGCCAGGGGGAGAGTAGAGAGATCCTTGGGTTGGCAAGGCTGGATGCGGGAGGGTAATGCACAAAAGGAGGCAGGACAGAGACTAGGCGTCAGTGAGGAGAGCCGCTGCTGTAGTGCCCCCCTCTTCCCCCTCTCCACCCTCCCCATACACCCCCAATTAAGCCAGTGCTAAGTGCAGGGTTTGATTTCCGCACTGCTAATAAGTGAAAACGCTTGTATGTATGTGTGTGGTGCAGTCTGGCTTGCTATTTTCCTCGTGAGATAGGCAACTTCCTTGCTATTAAGCTATAAAAGCCCGAAGAGAGGTGTTTTTTGTTTTGTTTTGTTTTTTGTTTTGGTAAGTGATATAGATAAGTGTGGGCATATTTGGGGGAATTGCCCAGATTTCTCTTTATGAATGTGCATGTTGAATTAGCTGTGCAAGCCTGCAATGAGAACCACACATATATATCTGTGGCTGCATAAGGATGCATTTAATATATTAATAAACATTAGTTATATATATATATATATATATATTTGTGAGCTGTAATAACCAAAGACAGATTTGACATTTAGTTGGAGGCATCTGAACTCTCTGTGTCTACTTACACATACTGGCCTGAAGTGGTTTCCTCCTCCCGCTCCCTCTGGCCACCTGCAGGAGCTCAGAATCCTGGGGAGCAAGTTGGTAGGACGTGGGGTGGGCAGTGCCTTGGGAAGGACGCCCTAACAAGCCCGAGAGGGTAAGGAGACAGAAGAGGTGAGGACTGAGGTGGAGGCAGAGCTGGCAGAAGCTGAGTGTGAGGGCTGGGGGAAGGGGAGCCAGGCCAAGGCCTCACAGGTCAGGTGGGGAGAAGATATCTGGGCCAATTGGGGTGGGGCAGCCTGACCCAGGAGCTGGCCTGGAAGGGAGGTTGGGGTGGGGCAAGGAGGCTTTCAGTGCCTTTAGCTCCCCTACCCTCCACCTGAGATTCCCCAGAGCTTTGGCTCTCCCTGGGGGCAGTGGTTCAGACTTCCATGCAGGTCAGCATTCAGCATTGGTTTCCCTTTGCCCCTCTTCTTGCTCTCACCCCACCGTCAATAATTACAAAAAATAAAACCCTCACACACTCCACACCACTATCAACCTTCCCCTCCTCAAAGTCTCACGTTCCTCTTCCAACCAAACCAGCCAGTCCTCACACTAAGAGGGTCCCGGACAGGAGTGGGGGTCTCCTCCAAGAGATGGCACACCTCCAGGGATTTCCAGTTCCCTCACCCACCTGATGGCAGGGGGCAGAGCATCATCTACTTGGGGGGTGTATCCAGGCACCCCCTCCCCAGGCACCTGGGTTGAGGGTGGGAGGCAGGAAGGAAGGGGCCAGGGCAGAGGATCAGCCCTTTGGACATCAGCTGTGGCCCAGTGTGATCCTTGCCTTAGGGTGAGCCCTAATTTGGAAGTGGGGACCCTCTCTGGCCTCCCAGAGATGGTGAGAGACAGGCTGAGAATTTCCCGCCTTCCGCCTTCCTCTCACAAGGGCTTTATTTTTTTTCTCTTCCCCTCCTCATTCCCTTAATTGCAGATGTTCTAATTAAACCCTCAAATAGTTGTTATGCCATTTTAAAAGGTACTTATTCAAGTGTCAACCAGGCTGGGCTGGGAGGAGGCAGCGCAGGGCGGCGAATTAAAGGTAGATTGGCTAATCACGGCGGCGATCATAATAATAAAATCAGAGGGGGAAAAATCACATTACGACTTTTTGTGGAAAGGAGGGAGCAGGCAGCCAGCGGCCGCCAGCCCTGCGCCGCCGCCGCCGCCGACACAAAGAGTGCGGGCGATTCCGCGAGACTGATTTATGACGTTTTACAGCCCTATAAAAGCTGTAGCGACGAGGCAAGCGCTCCTACCACCGCTGGCAGATTTAGTCTAATAAATAAAACATAAACAGTTAACTTTATGTGTCACTTTTATTGTTATCAAGTAAAATATAGCCGAGCCCCGGCAAGCTATGATTTTAAACTATAATTGTTATCAAGTACAACAAGGGGACCAGGCTCCCTCCCTGGGCTCTCCCTTCCGCCGCCCCCCCTCCCCCCCAACTTTGTTATGGGATCAGTTCATTGGAATTGGTGGCATGACACGGCCACCCCTATGGGGGGGGGTGAAAAGCAACCCTTCTTGCCCCCCCCCCTCTCCATGGCCCTGCCACCCGGGCACAAAGGTATTTCTGTGGGCTGGTGGCAGAGAAAGGGGAGGGGGCAGGAATGGGCTGGAGACACCTTCCCCCCTTAGGTGTACCCAGCCTCCCCCTTGGTGAGCTCACCCCTCAGCTTTTGGAAGGCAGCCTGGATATGGCCTCTGGGAATGTGTGTTTACATGTAAACACATGTGTTACATGGATACAATCCCTGGCCCGGAGCAAGCTCTCTCCACGCAGGCCTGCCTCCCGCTCAGCTAGGTCTGCCCTCTGTGGGGATGGAGAAGGAAGAGCGCCCAGGCCTTGGCGCTGGCTCCTGGCAGATTCCTCTGCTCCTTGCCCAGGCTCCAGGAAGCAGCCTGGAGGCGATGGTCAGAGAGCTGCAGGCCCAGCCGCATGGGGAGTGGGACTTGCAGTGGGAGAGGTCCCAGGGTCCTGGGCTGGGCAGGGAGGCTCAGTGGGTGCTCGGGAGGGCAAGGCTTCTGAACACTGCTTTTGCCAACCACTTCCTGTCTCTCTTCAGCGGGGCTCAACCCCCCAGACCTCCAGAAATGACGTCAGAATCATTTGCATCCCACTGCCTCTACCTGCCAGGTCCAGCTGGGAGCCTGCCTCGCCGGCCCCTGGGCCAGAGGGTTGGGTGAGTGTGTACACACGGGAGGGGGCTGGGCTCCAGCTTGGATGGGGGGCACCCGGGCTCTTCAGCCTCCCCTGGGCTCAGCCCCGGCTCCTCCCCATCCAACCTCCACTCCAGCCCTCACTCAACTTCCTCTTCCTGCAAAAGAGGGGCGCTGCCTGGTGACCTCCACGGACAGACAGGATCACCAGGAATGGAAGCCTTTGGAGGAGCCCAGGAGCCGAGGCCCAAGGGGCCCATGGAAAGCTCAAGGGGAGACTCCAGGAGGGGGCTGAGTCACAGCCTCCCCCAACCCCTCCATGCCAGGCTGGGGAGGATCGCTGGGGGCTTCCCCTCCTCTTACAGGGGAGGGCTGTCAGCCTGCGGGGTGCGCACCGAGACACCCCAGCCTCTGCCAGCCAACCCCCCATCACCACCACCACCACCACCCCAGCAGCAGCACCACCACCACCACCACCACACACACAAAAAAATTGGATACATTTTGAATAAAGCGATTCGGTTCCTTATCCGGGGACTGGGTTGCTCCGTGTGATTGGCCGGCGGAGTCACATGGTGAAAGTAACTTTACAGGGTCGCTAGCTAGTAGGAGGGCTTTATGGAGCAGAAAAACGACAAAGCGAGAAAAATTATTTTCCACTCCAGAAATTAATGATCATGAGCTCGTATTTGATGGACTCTAACTACATCGATCCGAAATTTCCTCCATGCGAAGAATATTCGCAAAATAGCTACATCCCTGAGCACAGTCCGGAATATTACGGCCGGACCAGGGAATCGGGATTCCAGCAGCATCACCACCAGGAGCTGTACCCACCGCCGCCTCCGCGCCCCAGCTACCCCGAGCGCCAGTACAGCTGCACCAGCCTCCAGGGCCCGGGCAGCGCGCGAGGCCACGGGCCTGGCCCGGCCGGCCACCACCTCCCCGAGAAGGCACAGCCGCTCTGCGAGCCGGCGCCTCTCTCGGGCGCCTCCGCCTCCCCGTCCCCAGCCCCGCCAGCCTGCAGCCAGCCAGCCCCCGACCATCCCTCCAGCACCGCCAGCAAGCAGCCCATAGTGTACCCATGGATGAAAAAAATCCACGTTAGCACGGGTAGGCAACTTTGCTTTTTGCTCTCCCCCCTCCCTCCCTCCCCTCTTCCCCGGCGCTCCCCACCCTCCCCGGCCCCCTCTCTCCGGCCCCCCGTCCTCCTTTCTCTCCTTCCCCCCTCTCTCTCTCTCCAGGAGCTACTCTGGGTTAGCACAATTGAACTGGATTTACGAGCGAGAATGGGTAATTACATCCCCCATAAATTTTATGGCTTAGCTACTCTGGGCAGTCCGAGCCATGTGCTACGATCTGTTATGTATGTGTGAAAACTATGCTCGCTTTCTAAGGGCGCATAAATAATTCAGTGTCGTTACAATGAGGATTCCCCCTCTTATTACACTACAAAGTCTCCAGCTTCCTCCAACTTCTCGATAAGCCATTTAGCTTGATGACTTGATTCCCCACCACCCCCTCCTCCCGGTGCCACAGAGCTGAGGTCGGGGGTGAGGGTGGGGGCAGGGAGCTGCTGCCTCTGAACCCCACTGTTTGCTTTTCCCCACCCCCCCCGCCCCCTCAGTGAACCCCAATTATAACGGAGGGGAACCCAAGCGCTCGAGGACAGCCTACACCCGGCAGCAAGTCCTGGAATTAGAGAAAGAGTTTCATTACAATCGCTACCTGACCCGGAGGAGGAGGATCGAGATCGCCCACTCGCTGTGCCTCTCTGAGAGGCAGATCAAAATCTGGTTCCAGAACCGCCGCATGAAATGGAAGAAGGACCACCGACTCCCCAACACCAAAGTCAGGTCCGCGCCCCCGGCCGGCGCGGCGCCCAGCACCCTCTCGGCGGCCACCCCGGGCACTTCTGAGGACCACTCCCAGGGCGCCACGCCGCAGGAGCAGCAGCGGGCAGAGGACATCACCAGGTTATAAAACAGAACCCGCACCCTGCCCCCGCCCCGCGCCCCCGCCTCCCCTCACACACAGATTGACTCTTATTTATAGAATTTAATATATATATATTTTGGTTCTTTTCTCTCTTCCTCCCACTTCATCCCTTGTCAGTTCCAAACAGACAGAAACAGATAAACAGACAAGCCCCCTAGCCCTTCTCTCCCTTCGTCTGTTAAGGACCCTTAAAGCATGTGATGTTGTCTTAGCATGGTACCTGCTGGGTTGTTTTTCTTTTTCTTTTTCTGAAGGCCATGTTGGGGGGGGGGTTATTTATTTTTTAAGAAAAGAAAACTGCAAAAATTATATATCGTGCAAGGTGTGCTGGTCTGGTCTGGGTGAGTTTCAGGGGAAATGAGGGAAAGAAAACAAAAAATGAAAGAGATTTTTAAAGCTAATTCTCATCCTTCTCCTCCTCCTCCTCCCGCTCCCCCCCTTTTTCCTTAGGCCTTTTGCATTGAAAATGCACCAGGGGAGGTTAGGGAGAGGGAAGTCATTTTAAGGAGAACAAAGCTATGAAGTTCTTTTGTATTATTGTTGTGGGGGGAGGCTGGGAGGAGATGGGGGAAGACAGCAGACAAAGCTAACTGCATCTGGAGAGCCTCTCAGAGCTGTTCAGTTTGAGGAGCCAAAAGAAAATAAAAATGAACTTTCAGTTCAGAGAGGCAGGCAGTCTATAGGTAGAATCTCCCCACCTCACCCCCCATCATGGTTATTGTGTTTTTGGACTGAATTTACTTGATTATTGTAAAACTTGCAATAAAGAATTTTAGTGTCGATGTGAAATGCCCCGTGATCAATAATAAAACCAGTGGATGTGAATTAGTTTTACGTCAATGTCTGATGGTTTCTTTTTATCCCCCTCCTCTTTCTGGTCTGGTAACATCCCCCCTTCTCTATAGTTACCTAAGTTTACTCTGAGCAAACACACAAACCTTAACTCTCAACTCCAGTTTTGCAATATCTTTAGAACCAGTGAGGGGGTTGGGACAGGGGCTACTATGAAGAGGGCATGTGGAAGGTTAGGGCTGATTTCTCCTGTCCCTTCCCTCTGACTTTGCAGGGGTCAGACTCTCTGGGGGTACTTACAGGGGAGCTGGGGGGTGGGGGTCTCACTTTTCTATAGTTAGGCACAGTGCTTTCTTTCTTTCTATTTCCCCTCTCCTCCCTTCTCCTTTCTCTATGCTGAGCAGGCCTGCCTAATTTCAGATGAGAAGGCAAGTTTAGGTAGGAGGGGGGAAAAAATCTTTGATCTTTTAGGACTTTTTTTTGGGGGGGGGATGAGGCATTAAGAAAGATGCCCCTTCTACATATATGGTCTCCTTAAAAGAAGAAAGATTTTGAGCTGGTGATTCTGAGGCAGCAAAGTGACCTGTCAGGATGGCTTCTCTGTTTGTTTAGACTTGGAAAGAAGGGTGAAGTGGAGGCCAGAGGCCTGGGAGGCCCCTTGCATGGGTAGGCCTCAAAGCCTGATGCCTGGAGATAGTGAAGAACTTTTATTTCTCCCCCTCTAACTTTTATCATGGACCTGCCAGGTGTTGAGAAAAGATACAGAGAGAGGCAGGGACCACCCTGTTTCAGTAACCTCCCAGGTCCCAGCAAGGCTAAGGGAAGGCTCTCTGGCAAAAAAAAAAAAAAAAGATTTGTTTTAAACTTATTTCCTTGGGGCTAAAAACTAAAAAGAAGCAAAATAAGAAAACTAGTCTGGATTACCTGAATAGTTGATTTAAGCCAAAGGTCCCCTAATAATTCTGGTTGACCAAGCTCTAAGTAAGACCTGCTCACATTTTTGCTTGTTTGTTAGGATGTGGGGGAGGCAGCTGGTGAGTTTCTCAGGCAATTTATCCAAATTTTAGGATGAAGCATTATCAGAAGTAGAAAAGAGAAGGAGGGGAGATCTGGGTGCGTAGAGGAGCCAGGAATACTCATTCCCTCTCTCTCCAAATCCTGGAGTGAAAGGCAGCGGGGGACCAAGTTGTGAGGATCTGTTTGGCGTGCTCTGGGTTTATTTCCTCTTGTACCACTTGCTGGCTGGCTGGTTCTTGGAGTGGGGCGTGTGTGTGTGTGTGTGTGTGTGTGTGTGTGTGTGTGTGTAGGGAAATCACTTGGTCCTGTAGGTCTACTTTCTCCTTTCTCAATGGTGCCCTGGAGACAGCAAAACATGCTGCCTACAGAGCAGGGAAGCAGGGCCAACAATTATCTGGAGTTATTTAATGTAATCAAGTGAATTAGGGGCCAAATCTGACTGTAGCTGCTGTCATCTTGAGAGAGTTGACTTTGGGGCAGAAAGAGAGGGTCTAGCTGGGCTTGGGGAAAGGAAGGGAGGGTCTGAGGGGTGGACCTGCTGTCCTCCCAGCCCTGTGAGGAAGCTGAGAGGGGAGGAGAGGGGTGAGAAAATAAAATTAAGATCCATAGTCCTTTCCTAACTTGGCTCGTTGGGTTTGAGAGGCATTTATTCCCTCTCCTCCTGAAAATGGAGAAGATGAAAGCAAAGATGGGGGGAACCACTGTCTTTTATCTCTTCAGCTTCTCCCTGAACTTGTTGAAGGAAAAGCAGATTAAAAGAATTGGACAGTCTTTTATTTCCCCTCGATAGGGGCTCCAGTTCCTCCTTCCGCTCCTCACACATAGACGCATCATCGTTCCCTCCGTGTCTCTATCCCTCTTGCTCTGAAACATCAGAAACCCATAATTCTTGACCAATAAAATAAAGCTAAAAACTCCTTTACACTTGAGTTTTTAAGATTCCTGCCTCTGGTCTTCCCTCCAACGGGCTCCATTCTCCCCTCTTTCTCCCAAAGATCCCCTTTGCCTTGGAACTGACCACCCAGATATAGGACCAGGCTGCTGGGGAGGGCGAAGTGTGTGGGGCCACCCTGGGCCAGGGCCCTTCGCTCTGGCAGACTTGGTCCCCTGCAGCTGTTGCTCCACCCGATGCTGCTACTACAGCCTCCCAGGGCTGAGGGCTGGGGCTTTTTATTGAAGTTGGGTTGAGCAGTGGGGAAAGGCTGAGGGGGGGAGAGGGGGGAACACAGCCCAGGTTCACGGGGAGGGCACAACATTTTCTCTCACATCGCCTTTATATTCGCCAGCGCCTCTGACCTTTCCCCCACCCCCACCCCCGACCCTCCCAAGCCAGCTCGGGCTCGGCCCCTGGTCTCCAGATAGGATGCCACTGCTTTTGTGGGGCTGGCGATTTCTTGCCCAGAGTAATGGGGAGAGGCAAGGCGCATGAATGCCTGCCAGCACATTGTATCTCTCCCTCCAATGGACGAGTAAAAAGAAGACAGGGTGAAACGACGACACCAATTTTCCAAGGTCCTTCTCTCCAAGCACCAAGAGATCCCCACAGGTCAAAAAATCCCCCTGACATGTAAGTAGTTAGCCCTCCATCCGCTCTGGGGGCGAGACGCATAGCAGTTTCAATTCTGTCTGTTTGCCATTCAATTTTTTTTTGTCTCAGCTCTGGTCTTGGGGAGGGAAGGCGGGAAATCTCATCCTGAACCGAAGACTTCTACTTGGGGGAATGGAGTTTCTGCGCTGGCGCTGCCGGGTGTGCTTGAGTGAAAAAACTTGGCCTGAAAAGCGGGGGAGAGCTGAGAGTGAGCCTGGGGGAGAGGCCAGGGCAACTGTGTTTCTTTGAAGGCTTCGCAGGGCTGTCTGTGTGAACTTTCCTACAAAGTTCTTTCCGCAATCTGTGCACCCGCTTTCTCCATGGTGGCTTGCAATCTAGAGAGCATGTGTGTACTTGGGGGAGTGGTGAGGAAGATAAAACAATGAAAGGTTCTCCAGAGCTTGGGGCCAGGGCAGCCCCTGCTGGGCATGGTTTGTCTGCTTTTCTAAGATTGTGGGGCAGTGACTACCTGGGGAGTCCCTGAGGCTGAGGGTGGTGACGGGAGGAGCAGTGGGCTGGGGCAGTCTCAGGAACCTTTTCTCTGCCTTTTGCCCCATCCTGCGAGAGTTTGCCCTCACAAAGCCACTTCTCATGGTTTCCAGGGCTTCTATCTGGCCCCCACCTCTGGAGAGCTAATTCTAATGGAAAGTTCCCCCTTTCAATGCGCCATTCTCAAGCTGGGAAACAGAGAGGGGGACCCCCTAACTCCAGCGGGCACCAGAGCAGAGGGAATATTTATTGCCTCTCTGGATATCATTACCAGGGAATACAATTTTATGAACTTCCTAATCTGTTAGCTTGATTTATCTGGATGGGCAGGAGCCCAAAATAAACATTGGGGGGATTTGGTAGGAAAGGAAGTCTTTGCCTCTGACCAATCTTTCTGCTAAAACTGACCACCCCGTTGGCCTGCTTTTTCTGCACCCCAATCACTAGCCACATTTCAATTTTTCTCTCGGGTCCCGAGTTTTAGCTGCCTCTGGAGTGTGAAGACCGGAAGGGTGCATTGTTTGAACCACAGACCCGAAGGGGTCCCTCGGGCACCTTACAACCTGTGCAGCTGGAGGCGCTCAGGTCCCTTTTGGATGTGGGGAGCGGGGAAGAAACCAAGGTTTGCTTCCTGCCCTCCTGAGCCAGGGGCCTCTTTTCAGAACTGGCTCTCCCGCCATTCCTCGGGATTTTTCTATTTTTCCCTCTGGTGTCAGCTCTGTGGCTTCTTTGAATGCAGGGTCCATCCAGAAGCTGAGCCCACATCCATGCAAGGAGGGGTAAGGCGTCTGCAGCCCCACCTTCCTGCTTTCAGTTCTGAGGCCCGGCTGACACACAGGAGGCCTGGGAAGCGAGGATGGGTAGGGAGGGCCTGGGAGTGCGCTGGCCGGTGAACAGGGTTACAGAGTCTAATAATGGGAAGGGACGATTTTAAGTGTCCAGTCCCCGTCAGCAGCTGCCGGATTCTGGAAGATCAGGCTTCTCTGGGGTCTGCTCTGCCAGCCGGGATAGGTATGGGCCAAGCCCAAAGAAGCATCACCTCTGCTCACCCCTCCTTTCGGGCCCTCCCTTCTCAGCGTGGGAGATGGCGAGAGCAAAG